CCCCTCCCCACCACTCCCTCCCGGGCGGCCGCGCGGGGGCGCGTGGGGCTGGGCGCGCAGCCAGAGGCGCGCAGGCTGGGCGCTAGTCTCGCCAGGGGGAAGGGGACGCCCCTCTGCCCCCTCCTGCTCGCATCAACAAGTGAACAGAGCCCTCAGGGGAGCGGTGGGGAAAGGAACAGGTGGGGGCAGGCGGTTTTCTCCCCAGATGGAGCGAAATCCATAAAGAGGAAAGGGGGGGGCTCATTTGGGGAGGCAGCTAAAGGCTGATCCTCTGCTCTAGGCACAGAGAAAGGGGGCTTAATCTGAATAGGGGGATGGGATGGCACATCTGGGTAGCCAGGTGGTACGGGGGAGGGGGTGTGGGGGCAGAAGTTTGGTGGACCTGTGCACATGAAAGAATTGGGGTTCGGAATTCTGAGCAGGAGGCTGGGGTGAGGGGGCACATCTGAGGAGGCAGTCACATCTGGCCAGGACCCCCCCACACCTGATGGGAGAAGTCAGAATGGAAAGGGGGAAGCACTAGATTGAGGCCGTGAGCCGGGGTCTTCACATCTGGCCCAAGGCCCGCATCTGGAAGACTTTAGAGAGGAGGGGACACATCTGGGCTGAAGGCCACAGCAGGAGGGGGACTTTTGAGGGTGTTTGAGACTAGGGGGTGTACTTGCCCAGGGCCAGAGCGGGAGCGGGAGGAGGGTCCTGGGAAGCAGGAGGAGGCGTTTGGTCCCAAGCCGCACGAAATCTTGGGCATTCGGTGCCCGGGCAGGCGCCAACCCGCACAATCGCTTTTGTTGTCTGGGCTGGTTCGGGCCTCGCTCTCTGCCGGGCCGGCGCCCCCGTCTCCGGCCGCTGGGGGCCCGGACGCCTGGCTTCCTGGCCCCACCCCCGCGGATCAGCGCCTCTGGCCGGCGTCTGGCCCTGTCCTGGGCTCACCTCTTGTGGCCGGACGCCGGGGTCCCTGGAGGGGGCCGCGTCCTGGGGTAGTGAGGGGCTGAGCTACAATGGGGGAAGGGTAGGCGACGGCTGGACGGTGGGAACCAGACGGCTTTATCTGGCCCGGAATCCCCCGCGCCACGGCGGAGGAAGGGCAGATGTTCTTACCGCGGGTCTGGCCGGCGAGGGCGCGCTGTGGTGGGGGCCTCCTCAGCAGTGCCCGGCCCCCCGGCCCGCGGGGCCGCCGTCGCCTCAGTAGAGCTGTAGCCTCCTGCAGCCTGAGTGGGAGGGGGCGGAGAAGGAGCTGTCACCGCGGTTAAGTTGACAACCCCCCTCCCCTGCTGGAAGGGGCCTCTGACGCCAGGAGGTCTTTGAGTAGCAGTCCTGCCCCCGCCCCCTAACCCCCATACGGAGACCAGGCTCTGAGTGTTCCTTCTTCCAGACTCTTGGAGAGAAACCGGGACAAAGACCCCCGAGAAAAGCAGAGATGAGGAGAGACAGTGAGACAGAGAGTAATCGGTGAGACAGTGACAAAAAGTCAGAGAGACCCTGAGTAAGACAGGTAAAGAACAGAGAACCGGAAAAAGAGACACAGAACAGAAAGAGAGAAAGGGAGAGTGTCCGAGAGAAAAAGAGAGAGGGGCGTGGAGACAAAGAGCAATAGCGACTGAGAGACCCGGAGACTGAGACAGGGGACAAGAGAAGAGATAGAGATAGCTACAGAGTGACGGTGACACAGAGAGAGAACAGGGAGAGAGACCCAGGGGGGCAGAGAGAAAGAGGAGCGCCCGGAAATGACAGTGCAGCTGGGAACTCCCGGGATCTGATAGGGGCAGGGGTCGCGCACTCACGTCAGTGGCTGCCAGTTAAGGGACACCTGTCTCTTCCTCACGCTGGGGCTGCTGCTCGGTGCAGGGGGCACCCGGGTCAGGCACCCCTGAGGGTCTGTGCCCTTTACAGGTGGGCAGCTCCGGACCCTGCAGGAGGCTGTAGAAACAGCCAGGGACTAAGGAGGGGACCAAGTCCCTCTCTTCGCCTAATGCATCCAGTTCTCCAGCTAGGATGAGAGATGGGGGGAAGGAGCCCCCCAGCCCCTCTGCTCCTACTCTTTAGCTCCCTACCCACGTACCCCCTGAAAGAACCCACCTCTGATGTAGCGTCTCCTCCCGGGTGACCCGCCTGGGCAGCAGCGACAAGAGGCGATACTATAAATACAGAGGTGGAGGTCACACAGGCCCCTAGCACCCCAGAACTCCGCAAAGGAGAGCACTGGGGGAGGGAAAGCCCAAGAATAGGCCTAAAGAAGGTTGAAACAGTTGTGGAACTAACTTGAGACGCTTCTCTCGGGGCCTCAGTTTCTCCATCCATAAAATGGGAGGCAAATTGGCTTAGGCTCTCCAGGGGCAAAGGTCACCAGGAGGCCTACTGTTATTGTCTTATGGAGTGGGTTCCATAAGACGGTAACTTTGTATTTTAAAGTCTTTTTGAAATGATTTTTTAAAATGAAATACTCGAATAGGATTTCTAAGCGTATTTCTAAGCTGGACTGTCTGAGGATCTAGAACCCCGCCCACCCACACCTCCCAGTCCTGAACTCAGCTGCCATCCCGCACATGGCCAGCAGGTGGCGGCGCTTCCGCAGGCCTCGGCGGCTGGGGAGGGAAGTCTACCCCTCCATTGTGGGTCCAGCTGGGTGCTGAGGTGGAGGCGGTGCAGAAGAAGCCACAGATGGGGACTGGAAATCCCAAGGCCTGAGTTCTAGTGCTTCCTGCCCTTCTGGAGCCATTGTTTCCTGTCGGCTTGGGCCTCAGTTTCCCTCCCTAGCAGGAGAAGTGGTTGGTTCTTGGAGGAGTCTCCCCTCCCAGTGGGTCTCAGATTCTGGGTGGCGGAGCCCCTAGCTCCGGCACAAGTGCGTCGAAACCAAGGTCCCCCCGCTAGACAAGTCCATTATCCCCAGACTGAGGGGAGGGCGAGGGACGAAGCCGCGCGCGCAGGCCCTGAGAGAGGGGTATTGGGGTGGCGATGCAAAGAGGACGTCGGGTGCTTGGACCCCTTCCAGCCAGGTGGGGCCCGGTAGGGGAGGGGGCTGCCCCGGTGGAAGCCTCCGGGACCCCCGAACCTACCGTCGTCCCTCCTGCCTTCTCCCGGGTTTAACCCCTTCCCGGCCCCGCCCCCGGCGCGGCTCGGGTTACTAAACGCATTCGCAGAGACCGAGGCGGGAGCGAAGCCCGGGGCCTTTGTAACTGAGCGCGGGGCCGCGGGGCGGGAGGATGGGGGTGCTGCGCAGTCTGTTTCCTTCGATCTCGTCACCCGCAGGCAGGAGGCGGGTTATAACCCCCAGATCTATAGGAAATCCGGAAATCTCTCGCTGCGCAATCACTGGTACCTCATTCAATCCTAGAGTTTCCTAATTCTGGAAACTAGAGAATCCCCAACCGTTATGAAACCTGAGGATCCCCCAATTGCCCACAAACTCCTTTGCCATCTACCCAGGAGTCCATGTTTTCCTAACCCATTAGAAAAATCCAAGGGTTTCTTTTAATTAATCCAGGCGTCACCAAACCCCAGAAAACCAGAACATCTCAACCCCCATTAAGTTCCTTCCCCCAGAAACCTCTCCACAGCTCTTCCTCTTTAAAACACCCAAGAAACTTGGGGAAACCTATCCTGGCTCGAGGGCCCCACCCATCTCTCTGTCATCCGAGAAGAACTCAAAGCCCCACCCCCACATAAACTGGAGACCCTTTTGGAAAATTCGCCCCTCAAAATCCCAGTACTCCCTGGAATTCTAACACCTACAAAATAGAGGTCCTAATACATCCAGGGGTCTTGGCCCTTTCACCCCCACACCAAAGCAGTGACTTCGTATTCCCGTAAATCTGAAAGTCGTGGTCCTCCAGGTACCACCAAACGTACTGGGGGGAAGGGGAGCACAAGGAAGAGGGGACCTCGGCGGGGCTTACCCGGCCGGACGGCCAGTGATCACCGCGACCTCGACAGCCTGGCTGGGGCTGGGGCTGGCGGGGGATGTTGCGGTGGCTGCGAGGAGCAGCGGCAGCAACACCAGCAGGAGGGGGCAGCGGCCGCTGGGGCTAGGCCGCCGCATGATGTCCGGCGCTAGTCCCCCTCCAGGCCGGCGGTCTGTCCAGCGGGTCCTGCTCTGCACCGCCCCGCCCCCGCCCCCGCCCGAGGCCGACTCACTTTCTCCACCGCTGGAGCCTCTGGCTGCGAACTTCCCACCAATCAGAGCCCGGCGCCGCCAGGAGGTGCTCCCGCACGGCCAATCGGCAGGCGACCGGGGTGGGGCTAGAGGGACAGGTGCCGGCCCGGGGGGCGCTGGGCGTAGAGTTCTCCACGCCTTGTGGGGAAATTAAGAGTCGAGGTACTGAGTGCCCTCTCGTGCAGCCAAGGCCCCAAGAATGGGGAAGCTGGAAGGGATGCAGAGGCTGTAGGCAGGGTCCCCCAAGCTAGGATCCCGCTTGCAGGTCTCACCCCTCCTCTCACAGTTGTGGGAGAATTCGATCAAAATTTGCTTCCTGGCTGGTGTAGATGCTGTAAGTCCCCACAGGTGCTCACCTCCCCGAGAGACTCAGGATCCAGGGAATGGGGCGCCAACCCTGCATGGATCCCAGTGCTTCTCAAAGCCCTATGCCTCAGGGGTTGCAGGCTCCCCACCTTCACAAAGCTTGTTTCTCAGAAAGCTGTAGCCCCTGCCCCTCAGAGGGCCCAGGCCCCACCCTTGATTTACAGATTCCGTGCCAGGAGGCTTTTGGCTCCGCCCCCTTCCTCCGAAAATCCCTTTCCACCGGTAGCCCTTAGACTCATGGTGACCCCATGTGTGTCAGAGTTGAACTGTGCTCCACAGAGTTTCAATGGCTGACTTTTTTGGGAAATAGATTGCCAGGCCTTTCTTCCGAGGTGCCTCTGCATGGACTCGAACCTCCAACCTCATACCAGACCCTTTTCCCTGCCCATATCTCCTAAGAGCACCCCTGCCATCCCCAGAATTCCAGACCCTGCCTCAGAGAGTTTCAGTTCCCTCTCTTCCTAAGGACATCAGCCATCAGGAGCACCCAGCCACAGGGCATCTGAGGCCTCACCCCGCGCCCGCTTTAGTGGGTTCCAGGCTCCAAGCCCTGCTCACAGCCTTCCAACTCAAAGTGCCCAGCTCCTTCCCTTTGTTATAAATCAAGGCTCCGCCCCCTCTCTTCAGCATTAGGATTCTATATCTCCTCCCCCAAAGGCACCGCCCCCAGAGCTTGAGACCCCGCCCCCATCGCCCCTTTCTCCTGATTTTCAGGCTGCACCCCCTTCTCACAGATAACTGGGGATCGGCCCGACACAGAGGACCCCCAAACCCCACCCCTTTCATGTTTGCCCCGCCTCTGAGGGTTCCAGGCCCCGCCCCCACCTCGCATAGCAATGAGATCTTTACGGTTTCCAGTTCTACACGTAGACTTGGCCCCGCCTCCCAGTGGATGCAAGGCTCCGCCCACAAAGGGTACAAGGCCAAGCGCCCTGACGCGCCCATCTGAAGCCCAATTAAGAACAGCAACCGATCCTGCTTCGTCCCCATCCCCCCCCCACTCCTTCTTCCCGTGGAGGGTGTGCAGGACGACAGGGCTGGAGTGGGGACCCCTTCAATCCCCCGTGCAGTGAGACACACAGGCTGACTCAGTCACACTCACATCGTTACTGCCACCTACAATAAGTCACGCCTCCATCCCACACTGACACCCCGAAATCCGGGCCCATTCACCACCCAGGGACACGCAGCGCCCCTCTCCCCCCCCCCACCCCCCACTCCGGAGCAGAGTCCACACACTCACGTCCATTCACGGCCATTCGTAGGCTATCCTAGCAGGATGATGGAGAGAAGCATGTCCCCGCGTGCCCGGCTCTGCCCACTCAGTGTGCTCCATGTCCCTGTCTTTGTGTGGCTCCCGAGAACCCTGCTAATGAGGCCCTGAGGAGCCCTGTGTCCATGCCATCGTTTCCCCTTCCCCCTTCCTACCCTGTGGTGGGAGCATCTGCTGGGGGGCTGCAGGAATTTCTTCCTTCTGCCAGGGATCCAGGGCATCTTCAACGCTTGTTGCTAGGCAACAGTCTCTGGCTCACCACGGCAGCTTCCGGGGATGGCTTCGTCTTCCCCTCCTCCCAGAATTTGAAGTCTCCAGCTTCCAGTCTTTTCCCACCAGTGCCATGGTCTCCCGGGGCCGTGATTGTCATCCCTTGGGTCTGGATCTGATGTCAACCCTCAGAACCCCTCAGAGTTCTAGACTCCTGCCATTCCAGAACCTTCCCCCCACTGTGTACTCGCCCCACTGTTTTATCAGTGGTATTTAAAAAAAATCTTTAGTGTTCTGGGCTCCCTGCCATTCCAGATCTCTCTCACACAGTTCTAGAATGGCCAGCATCCCAGGAACATGAGTGTCCTGGATTCCCTGGAATGGACAGAATGATCTAAAAAATATTCTAGAGCTGGGGGCATTACTTAACATTCTCATATTCTAGATGACTCCCTTACATCTAGAATTCCTGACATTCAAATATTCCAGTGTTCTCAATGCCCCGGGGTGCAAAAAGAACCCCCAAGTTTGAGATTCACAGGCATTCCAGAAGGCTGTTTTTAGAATCCTTTTGGATTTCCTCTTGGTGTTTAGATTATCTAGCAATCCAGAACTCCCTTCCATTATGGATTTCTTGGAATGCAGACAAACCCTCTAGAACTCTAGCAGGTCTGATATTCCAAAATACGCTATGATTTAGATTTTCCAGCAATCCAGATTCCTTTCTTTGTGTCCTGTAATTCTCCGCATTCCGAAATCCCTGGCAGGCAAACTATTCCTACCAATGGGGATTCACTCCCATATTCTAGAACCACTGACTCAAAATCCTTTTGTCAGCAACCTTGAGAATTCTGGATTCTCTGATATGCAGAGACCCCCTAATATTGTTAACCCACCAGTACTCCAGAATATCCCTGTGTTCTACATTCCTAACATTTCAGACAACTCTTCAACCTGTTTCCTAGTACTGGCATTCCAGAAAACCCAAGCGTTCTAAAATTAACATATTCTAAAATCCTTTGTTCCTGGGCTGACCCCTCTTCTCTCTGCTTCATTGGCTCAGGAAAAGATGCAGAAATTTCCCAAGGGAGATGTCTTAGTAACAGGTACTATTTGGGGAAAGTCTCACGGTTGTCTGGGCTAGGGTGAGCTGAACCTGTCCCACACACCCTCTTTGGTGTGGGCAGGAAAGGAGCAAAGGACTGGGCAGTCAGGGGTGCTGAGCATTGTGTTTGCAGTGGCAAGGTTGGCGGTGCGTCGGGGAAAGGAGAAATCACGTAGTTGACATCTGTGTTTCTGCCTACCTAGCCTTGGTGGAAAACCTGGTGGCGTGGTGGTTAAGAGCTTGGCTGCTAACCAAAAGGTCAGCAGTTCAAATCCACCAGCTGCTCATCGGAAACCCTATGGGGCAGTTCTACTCTGCCCTATAGACTCACTATGAGTCGGAATCAACTTGATGGCAATGGGGTCGCCATTCACCCCTTGAGGTAACAGCACCCTGATTCTCCTTTCAGGAACTCCTCCTCCACTCTTCCCACTTGGGGCTGACCTCACCTCCTGGCTTGTGAGGTCCAGGCTGGGCCAATGGAAACCCTTTGTTCAGGGATGGCCATGTGACCAAAATCAAGCCAATGAGAATCTGTCCTGGGATTTTTGCTACTGCTAAAAGAGAAAAAAAGTTGCTAACATGCTATCGGGAGTCATCACGGCACAGAGAGGGGAAAGCCTGACAGTGACGCATCCCAGAGGAAAGCAAAGCTGAGAAATGGAAAGACAGATTCTGGAACCCCTGGATCCAGCCATGCCTGACACTGAACTCAGAGTGCAAGCCAATACATTCCCTTTCTTTGCTTAAAGCTGGAGGGACAGAGATTGATGACTCTACAGCCAGGGACTTGGTTGGGCCCCATATCATCCACCACCTCTCCTCTGGAAGTCCCCAAACCCTCTAAGAATGCAAGCAAGGTGTTGGCAGTGAGGACTTTATTCAGGGGAGGGTGACTTTGGCTTCCAGAAAAGGGGCAAGATGAGGGCTTAGTAACAGTGATCATTCCAAGGAACCCCTGGCCCTAAACCCAGGAAGCAAGGAGGCACCTGAGTCCACCAGGACCAGGGTATCCAAAGGCACTATGGCAGCTGTGTTCAGAAGGAAGTTTCATTGACCTTCACCTTGGGTGGAGTGAGGGGAGCCCCAAGACCCGTGGAGGGTCGGGGGGCTGGCGTTGGTGGCCGTCGGGGCTCTGGCCCACTCTGCACCAGTTCCTGGCAGCGTTCCACGAAGCTGCCTGCCCCACGGCGCCGGGCCTCGGCCTGCAGGGGGCTTGGGCTCCCACGGCGCCCAGACAGGGAGCAGTTGCTGGAGGCTGAGTGGAGACTGAGGGGGTGACGAGGGTTAGTGCAGGGGATCATAAGGTAGCTGGGCCACCCCCTCCCACAAGGCCACCATGCTGTCCCCTTTCCCGCCAGGGGAAGTGGAGTTCCAGCCACCTGGTAAGAGAAATGCGGGGCGAGGGGCTGGGGAGAGAGCCCCTGGAGGAGCCCAGTGGGGCCAGCTCACACTGCTCCAGCTGTTCCATCAGCTCTTCCTCTGTCAGGCCACCTGCTGGGGGCAAGGAATCGGGGTCACAGAGTAATGGACAGGGTCACAGTGCAAGAGTCAGGGGTCCAGGTGGGAGAAAGGATTCAGAGACAAGGGACAAGTGTCAGAGGGGTTTAAAGCAAGGCACTAGAATAAAAAGACAAAGGGGACTGGGGGAGCAGAGAAAGGGGTCCAAGGGCAAGGAGGGCAACAGCTTGGGAGGAGGGGTCATGAGGGGTTAGGGCTCGGGACGGGAGCGGGACAGGCGTACCAGGGGCCTGGCCGAGGCCATCCATGGCAGTGGTCAGGTCCCACAGGGCCAGGCTGCCATTGGCTTGACCAGTGAGCAGGTAGCGCCTTGGCCTGGAGCCGAGCCGCCGGGAGGCCTCACACTCGAGCACCGTGAAGGCGGTGGTGGGGGAGCCGTCCACGGAGCGCACGGAGCACACCCTGAGGGTGGGAGCCGATGATGGGCCACCCAGGGCCTGGCCCGCTCCCTCTGCCTGTCCTCACACTCTGCCTGGGCCCCACTGCCCCATAGGGCTCCAGCCCCTGCATCCCTCCTCAGTGGACTTCCTTCCTGGGCTCCAGCCCTGGCGCCCAGCAATCTCCAACCCTGCACACCCACCAGATTTGCCACCCACAGTCTGCTCCTTCCCCCGCTCCTGTCGCAGGGGAGACCCCACCTGAGTCCCACCTGGATGCTCCCCTCCTATCACCCTAAGACTGGTCTACTCAGTGGACTGAGCACCTCTCCCACCCCTGCCCCTGCCCGCCCTAGTCCCATCATCCCTCTCCCTCCAGGTACCTGGCCTAGCCTCCTCCCTGGGCTCCCGGCCTCCTAGCTTGACCACCCATCTCCCACCCATCCCGCTCACTGAAGCCACAGCTCCCTAGAGCACTCAGCCACGTCTCAGCTCTTCCACACGACTGACAAGGCCTGCCAGTGTGGCCGCCCCATCCCTCACCGTCACTCTGGGCACTGGTGCTATACCTGCGTGCGCTTGGCTACGTACACTATTCAACTCTTCCCAGGCTTTGCGCCTGCTGCTCCCTCGGCCTGGTACACCCTTTCCCCCTCCCTTCTTTCACTGGCCCATTCCTACTCATCCTTCAGGATTCTGCTCACAGTCCTCTCTTCAAGGAAACACGCCTTGATCCCCCTTCCCAAGCAGGGGCAAGCAGCTCCTGTGGGCTCTGACAGCTTCCTGTGCCACCCTATCCTGGCCCGACCCTCTGCGTGGCCTCCTCCATCGCTGCCCAGACCCCGCCATCTGTGCTTCCTCTGTCC